TTGTTATGGATGTCAATAATGCAAAGATCGCAGAGTACCGGGAGTGCCTTCATATGAGCAATGCCACAAGCTAGGCCAGTGATGGGAATGGGCTGCCAGTACGCCAGTAATTTGGGTGGCAATAGGACTTTAACTAATTTTTTATTCTTTGATTTCAATATGGATGTGAAGACGAAAAGGAAAAGGAAAAGGAAAAATGTGCGGAAGTGGAGTTCAAGCCACTGAGGTCGGGGATATGCAATTGTGCATCGATAGCAAAACAAATAGTGGAGTTGACGACAGCAGTTCACCTGTGGATGTTGATGGTGTGGACAACGTGAACAAGGTACAAATACTGCCTTTAATGCCCCACAAGTTGTGAATACCCAATTCATGCCCACATCAATAATGTGAATCAGTAATTTTACAATCATCTGTGTTGTATTGTACTAGTTGTCAAAGAATTGCATGTTTGCAGTTATGACTGCTGCCATATGTTAGTACACATTTCTAACAAACTCCGCACCAAACATCACAAAAGTATAAAGGTCATCGCGGTGCAACTGGATGTGTTTTCCTGCTAATGGTATGCCAATACCTTGAATTTTTTTTCCATTCCCCCCTTCATGTGTTTCATGCATTGTTCTGTCATGGTTCAACAAATTGGCCTTGATTGGGACATACAATGGTACCTGCTTTGTGAGTACGACAAACAGCACTCTTCCTGACCAAGTATGGTACTTGCAGAAATAAATTTTGTGTGACTACCGTCATGAATTTAAGAACAAAGAGTACAGGGCAAAAAGTATGCCGAACCTCAATGGAGGAACCAATTAAAACTACGTTGCGAAGAGGGAAACATGTACATAAATTTTTTTTCTTGGTTTCATCAATAAAGTCCGTGGTGTGCTGTACATTTTTTTCCCCAAAAAACATTGCATGATATGTGCCTATAAAGTTGACAGCATCCTCAACAAAATCGGTATGCTATGTACGTTCCACTGCAAAATTGAGAATAATGAATGTCATTGTTACTGAATATAGTTCATTTTTGTGGGAAGAACAACTTAATTATGGTGTGCCCCTTAATGTCCACAGCTATTGTACCTTGATTGTGTTTGTCTGAGCTCAACTACGACGCGGTCCACTCCTCGGCTTCATGATTGGGGTGATACCCAAATACGGGAGACGCTGCGACGTATTAGAAGGAAGCAAAATTTCCCAACAATTGCGGTAAGCACTCCTACCACTGTGCACATTTCACACCATTGACCCACTTGTCTTCAACATACAATATCAGACTTCATTTATGCGTTTCTATGATTATGTGGAGTTTGATTACAGTAACGCCGATGATGCTGACATGGATGCATGCCATGTCGAGAACCAACAAACATGACAGTACAATGAAGTCCGTATGAGCAATTTGGAGTCCGACATTCGCAAACTGAAGGAAATGATGAAGCAAGTTCTCCACAACCAAACAGATTTAATGGAGATGTTGCGACATTTCGAAGGCAAGCAAGTTGTTGGCAATGACAAGGTAATCCATCCAAGCATTACGCAATTTTCACACAGTTGAGCCACATCATTTGAAGATGGTTTGTAAGACTAAGTTAACGAATGTGTATATATGATTAGGTGGAAGGCAATGATGTGTGTATCATTAACCTCTCATCCAATGTTGCTCAACTGAAGGAAATGCTGAAGCAACTGCTTTAATGTTTCAATTTGGGCTGCAACGAACCGTTCACTGAACAAACCAATTTATGTGAACTGAAGCAAATGCTACATCACCTCATCGAAGGTATATTCTCTACACCGCAACCGGCAGGCGTGCCTAAACAGGGTGTGGACCCTGCTGTTGGAGTCGAGGCGCACGACGATGGCGTGGTCAAACCATCTGATGAAGTTAACCCAATGGAGTGTAATATTTCAGATGTACAAGGGGTGGATCACCAACGACAGATTTTGAAGGGAACCTTGGCAAGGGACAAAAGTCATTTGATGATGGGCACAAGCTGAACATCGAAGAAGGTGGGGACAACAAGAAGAAGGGAGGCCTTCAGTCAGGGGAAACATATGAAACTGAAGATAAATACAATCCTGACCTTCAGTCAGTGGGCGTGAAGAACGTGGCGTGCGATGTGCATACTTCTCCTACTAAGCTTGGAAAACCATTGGGAGCAACTGGAATCGTTAGAAGAAGTGCAAAGGGAAGACGAAAAGGAAAAGGAAAAAGAAAAATGCGCGGAAGTGGAGTTCAAGCCACTGAGGTCGGGGATATGCAATTGTGCATCGATAGCAAAACAAATAGTGGAGTTGACGACAGCAGTTCACCTGTGGATGTTGATGGTGTGGACAACGTGAACAAGGTACAAATACTGCCTTTAATGCCCCACAAGTTGTGAATACCCAATTCATGCCCACATCAATAATGTGAATCAGTAATTTTACAATCATCTGTGTTGTATTGTACTAGTTGTCAAAGAATTGCATGTTTGCAGTTATGACTGCTGCCATATGTTAGTACACATTTCTAACAAACTCCGCACCAAACATCACAAGTTGGGAAAACTCTGGGGCTCACAGTTTTTACATCATTTCACGTTCTTTTTTATGACTACCGACCTTGTAATGTAAGCTTCAATATTTTTATGAAATGTGTACTGTTAGTTGGCTGTTTATTTTTGTAGGACTCGTTGACGATGTTGGACAGCGAAGGGTTGTTATCGGCGGAGGAACAAAAACTTCTTCACTATGTATTTGACGATAGCAAAAATGAAATGTATTGTTTCATTTACTACTTGCAAATTTTCAATGACAGTCCACTGTGAAATAACTATCGTTCTAAGGATCATTTATTGCTTGTAGGGACATTGTTGTTTCCATGAATCTTCATGGACGGGCATGTGAAGTTGGCACCCGGCGTGACATGCGCACGCTCAAACCAGGGTCGTGGCTATCCGACACTGTAAGTGTTGGCTGCACAAATATGAATCTGCGTTTTTCAGTACCCCTAACTCAGAAACCTTTCTAATCAACTTGCCTTGTGTCTTGCATACAATGTTCCAGCCAATCAACTTGGTGGTGGTGCAATTGACTAATCGACAGAGGGATTTACACAATGACGGGAGGCACACTGATTGGTTCTTTCCCGTATATCTGTCGGTAAGTAAGTGTTTAAAGCTACGTTGTGTATTGTGTATGACATATTTTGACAAATGTTTCTGTCAATGACCTTTATGCATTACACATGCAAACTTTGATTCTAAATAAAGATACGCAACCTCTGCACCATGAACATATCGTCACATCATTTTTCGGACATGACAGATACACTGGTGCGATTGATGCCTGCCAGAGGGTAATATCAATGTTCATCCCGTTATATTAAAACGAAAATATGAAAGCCATTACATGTTTGCATGGCCTCTAAACAAGGTCTGCTGTTGTGTTTACGTGTAGATTTACATGCCTTTCAATTACAGAGGAGTGCATTGGTTGTGCATTAAAATTGATATGGTGGACCGTGTAGCCTACCTATTCAACTCAGTCCCATCCAACCGACCGAACAAAAGGAAGCTAAATGCAGCTAAAATTTTGGTATGTCCTTCTGGTGCATTTCTGAACACTACAAAAAACTTGAACATCCTTTACGTAAACCAACTTCAACCTTGTGGAACAGGTTCAAACTATGCACGACTTGCTGTAACTACACTTTGGAAATGATTATGTTACAGACGTGCATAGCTTCCACCGCTGCATGTTAGATGAGAGGCCAGTACAACAACTGGACGAGTAATCCACAATCCTTCCCTCACATTAATGTCTATGCTGCATGACTGACTTAACGAACCTATTAAGTATTGACGACAACTTTAATGTGAAATTATTTTTGTAGCACGTTTGACTGTGGGATGTTCGTCATCAAATTCATGCAGCAACCTGATTTAAGCCCCGGTCCACACAAGGTCCATTCTACCGCTTAATTTCCATTTGTCAATCAAATCCTTCCTCGTATGTCCTGCAATTTTAACTGATTTGTCTTATGATCTTTCTGTACAAAGTTCGCTCCCTCTGTGCGTCATAAGTTGTTGGTTGACATCGTTATAGATGTCAATAATGCAAAGATCACAGAGTACCGTGAGTGCCTTCATATGAGCAATGCCACAAGCTAGGCCAGTGATGGGAATGGGCTGCCAGTACGCCAGTAATTTGGGTGGCAATAGGACTTAACTAATTTTTTATTCTTTGATTTCAATATGGATGTTAATTATGGCTCCCCAGTATTGTTTTTGCTGGACGATGTAAATATGGACCAACTGCAAAGTGCAAGTCAAATGTAAACATGGATCAAACATGTCGATGTGGCTGCTGACTTAGTACTATTTTCTTTACGCATGTTTCTTGTTCGGATGAATGCGACTGTAACTGTATATAATTTACGGCTGCTTTTGTTACCGAAGTTAATTTATAATTTAATTACAAAAAAGGGAAAATTAATTTTCAAAAATGAAAGAAACCACATTATGAATGAAAACTCAATACTCTTCGTAGGTAAGTTATATATCAGCCCATTAGCACATATGACTCCAGCCAAAACAAAACTTTCATGGCTTACAGGGAAGGTTAAAAAAAAAATAAATCAAATCTACATATCTGTTGCATCATCAGCAGCGTCTTCTGAAGAGTTGTCCGCACTGTCTGATTGACTGTCCTCATCCATTGTCTTATCAGACTTCGCTTCGTCCGCCGCCAATTTGTCATTGGTCAGCCAATCAACGTTCTGCTTGATAGCGCCGACTTGCCGCTCCAAACTTGACAACCGTGCGTCCACTTCATTCAGCCTTTCGTAGATAGCTTGCAACAGCTGGAATACAGGAGCAACATGAGCTTCAACAATAGCTTCAATCTTGTTCAAATCGGACATTTTGTAGGAATATGTGTATGGTTTATTTTACTGACTACTTTTTTAAAGGAATGTACAGATTCATAATATTACACAACACTATGCTGTAAGTATTTGTAATATATGGTACATGACTTATATGTTTGCAGAAGACCTCATGCATTGTGACATACATCGTATTAATTTCTCAAACTGGCCGAATTCATCTTGCAAAAATTCGTTCCTTCTTGCATGCACCAAGTCATCCGTTCAGTACCCCTGATCGTCCATTATTTGGCATTTCCAACACACATGCATTGTACCTTCCATCAGTACTAGCCCACTGTCATTGATTTCCACACCCACAGTTCATCATACAGTCACATTCGTCATTTGTATTTGTGCCCCAACCCAATTACATGTCTACTCATCCATAAAGGTTAGCAAAATTGCTCTTATCAGATACATATGCCGTTCCAATTGCACCGAACCTTTAAATGCAATACCCGCAGTCATTAAGTTGCTTTTACGCAGTTTAGGTAGTTGTTGCCACCAAACAACAATAAGTGTGTTCACGTCTTTAAACCTACCACCAACGTATTAATGACTATGGGTTGAAGGTAATTTAACATTTACAACCAACCACAAAAAAGTTTGCAACCAGTGTTGTTTCCTTTGCATTTGGGTTTGTTTTTGCGTCCATATATTCTTCGTGAACCTGCGAAAACAAAGTTGGACTCAATCAAGAAGCTTCACACCTATGGATGCACACCACGACAAACATGGTCGTGGACAATCACTTGCAACGGCTGCCAGCTCCCGACCGAAGTCACCAAAATTGGATTATGCAGGTGGGTATATCGATTCCTTCAGTGATCGACGTTTCTTTGAAACAGGGATCGCAAGTGATGTTCAACTGCTTAACGAAGTTGTTCAGTTCTTCAACTTCACGAACTGTCGTAAGGGTGAGGTGAAGAAATTCAGAGAAGTCAACAAGCCCAGGCAATTCACGAAGAAAATCTAATTTGTAGAAATGGACAACCTTGCCTGTCATTGCACGCAACTTTTGAACGACGGTTACCTTTCTCTTGAAGTTATCATCTTGCATATATATACAGCAGTTACATTTGAAAAGGAAGGTAGCTGTCATTCATGAGTTGCGGGCTGTTTGAACTTCATTGAGCGTAGAAATGAAATGCGTACTCTCATTTGTCTTTTTTATGACCTTCGTGCAGAATGAGAATGGATGGGTACGTTAGTAATATTTTTTGGCAGGCAGTGGCAGTCTTGCTTGTTTCATTGTCACATACAATTGATGAAACTTGTTTGTACGCCCGGAAAAGTATTCTTCTCTAATCTGCCCACTGTCTGAGCACCCGAAGGTAATGGAGCACGGGCCACG